TTTGCACAATTTATAAATTCTTCATGGATATTTTGGGAATTGATTTTGACACATGTAGGCTATTATGTTCATTTACATTTTAATAAAAATATTTTTAGGCCTAAACATGCAAGTTTATGAAAGTTATGTTGTCAGGTTTCCCGCTTGATAACTAGCTTCACAGCACCTCCTGTTAAAAATTACTTCCAGCGGCTCTGCACAGAGTAATGGTTTTATAAAAAAAATACTCGAATATTTTATTTACAATCATGCAGGAATAAGAATTTTTGGCATTACAAGAGTAATAATATTTTGAAACAGCATTTTTTTTTGTTTACGAACTGCTCCACGCGGCCAAATTTGATCATTTTTTCAGAGACGGCCCTCTACATGGCCGTGTGGAAAGGAGCGGGATTCCCAAGTATCTAGATTTGATTTCTACAGTCTGCATCCCCATGGGCCGCACTGACTATAAACACTGCACACGTTTCCTCTGCTTGGCTCCTTGCATCTAATTTCCTTGTGGAATTTACATGCGGAAAGAATAAACCAAAGTTTATGTGATTAACCATGGTCTAGACTTCTTTTCACATATGACCAGTCATCATAATTATATTTCATTATATGTTGTAAGTGGAGCAAGGTGATATAACAAAAAATAAAATAAATAAATAATAATCATGATTTTCTGATCAATATTGGATTTTATTAAAAACAAACAAAAGTAAATAGTCATTAACACAAAAAATCTAATTATTTAAAATGTATTCCTCCAAAGTCTCACCCTGACTCGGCTCCAAAGCACATTCTTCTACTGAAAGAGGAATGGCGGTAGCTCTCTCAATTAAAAAGAGCTGATCATTGACAATTACAAATGACGGAATCTCTGTCTCAATTAAAATTCCGTTCATTGCACAATCCTCTTGGAAAGTTTTAATAACAGTTTGATTTTATGTGGGCAAGACAGTGTAGGCCATTCAATATAACGACATAACATATACAACTGAATCACAAAGTCTGTACCTTTTAATTTTGCTGTTATAAAAGTAGAATTATGTGTAGATAGGCCTGTCACAATGAATACTATATTGACTTATCATAAATTTTCTTTCTAATACTGGTTTTATTATTTTTTGGCTATGATTACATTTGAGCTGTCGAGGAATGAATTAGTCCTTTACTATGACGTAGATCGTTTCAATTCAAACATCACAAGTGACAACCCCATTATGCAGCTGCCTGTATCAATATATAGTCTATGTATCTCATGTATAATTATGGTTTGTTGGTTATGTTGTTGGCGTGACTAGCATTGTGGAATATTTATATTGGCCTAAGAAGCACGTTCTGAGATTTCCCCTTCATCCCAAGGCCTCGGATGGACGCACTTACATTGTTACGGTTTTAGATACCAAATAGCATGTTAGCATAGTCTATGGATACACAACTGTCAGTGCGGATGACAGTGCAAATAGATTATATACATTTTGACAATTAGATTAGAGACTGGAGTTAAATTGTCAATCAAAGTGAAAGGAGGTGCCTCTTAATCTCAACGCCGGCTCCTGACAATAACAGTTACGTTAAATTGCATTAGGAGAAAATAAGATTAGTGTTCAGTAGGGCCAATTCTCTTTTTTTCTGAAGTGTACAAGTTCAGACAGGGGCTTTGGTTCAGTGAAAGCTCCTCTTTTTGATGCTGTTTAACTATGTGGGAACTCTACCAGAGCCATCGTGTGAAAGTCTCTGTTGAATTGTATTTAGGTCTCACAGTGTTGACTGTTTCTGGAGATTTTGTTAATGGGATAAAAGGTTGCATCACACAGAGGAAGTGGTCTGTCCTGGCAAGTAACTTAAGAGAAAGACTTTAAAGCATGGATCTTGATGGGCCTGGAGTCAATCTGTCCCATTCTCAAACAATTATTGATACTTTGCCGCTGATGTCATCAACGTTCCCTGGGGATGTGCTGCTATCAAGTATTTTTATTAGTAAAAATATTTTGAAAAACATGCATCTGATTAGGATCTCCACCGCACAGATCTGACCTGTAACTGGGCCTGGTTGTGTGAAATGCTTGTTTAGTGATTGATGATTTTAATGCCATACTGTGGAACAATCTAGGTTTAAATAATACCATCTCCAAGGAAACAAGCAGGTGTGGACGATCCACCAGAAAAGTTACATCGTGTATGATTAAATATTTATCTTATGAGTCATAGCTTTAATCGTATAGTGTTCTGACAGTATCCTCAGCAAGCCAGCACCTTGGTCTATGTGCAGCTTGTTACCATGATGCTACAAACAAGAAAAGGTCCTGTGCAATGCAAATACTGCTAGTGCCTGAATTATATTTTGAATGTCAAAATATCTATAATTTTAAATGGCTGATCAGATTTGCAGAGGCTGTGCTATGTGAGGCCACTGTTTCAAAGAGCAGCGGGGACACAAAGAGCTTTTCTTAGTCACTCAGAGATAATGCGAGACTGGCAATCACTGCAAATCAAGACAGGAATCTGACACATCCCTCGCCATCACGATACAGAACACCGAAATAAAAACAAAAGACAACAATGAAACCTTATGCCTCAAGGTTTCCCAGCGCGCTTTGTTTGCTTTACGGTCTATTCTGAGTGCGTGTGGTGCAACATGAGCCCTCTGCGGCTGTCTGGGTATCTATAGATCAGTGGAGCGGGGACACGGGCGCAAACGCAGAGTAAACAAGAAGTGCAGTCCAGAGGAGAGCCCATAGCGAAGCACATCCAAAACCTTGTCAGTTCAAACGGCCCGAAACGTGAACGCCAATCAACAACAGCTGTGCTACCAATCCCCCAATAAATCCAGTATGACGGAGCTTTGATTGGCTCAGAGGAAGTGATGCTGCAGGTGGCCTCAGAACGCTTTACTGAGGTGTATACGTTCCAAACAATAACTATAGATGCTGCTAGTGTACTTCAAAATGAATACATCTGCTGAGTTCGACTGGAATCATCAAATTTAATCTCTATTTATTTTACATGTATATAGGTCAAAGGTCAAACTGTCCATGACTCCACTATGCAAAGCATTCATCAATTAAAAATGACAAATAAACTCAAAATAATCCATTCAATGTATATATTAGAGGTGCACTGTGTAATATTTTGGTGGAGAGTCCGCCACCTGCTTTTCTCCACTGATGTCTTTGCCTGGAACATTCATAGTACAACATAAAACATATCTGTCTCTGTGGAGATAAGCAGGTGCTGCCAGGCCAAGTTACAGGTTAGCTCACCTTAAGAACACATGTTCATAGTGTTTAGCATTTTGAGGTATTTTTTAGAACATTAATGAAATAAATGCAAGATAAATTACTTTAATCTACTTTCCAGGTAAAGCAATAACATCTGATATGGAATCAAGTATAGGTTATATTATTATTCTTGTTATGTTATTTCTTGTTGAACAGAGAAAAATCACACACACCGTCTTACTTGCAAATTGTGAATTTTTAGGCCTTCGTATTTTTTTTTCTTTTTTTCCCTCATGAAGGCCCAGTGCCGAAACGCTGTTGATGTACTAATAAAATTCGCAATTTGCAACTATACTTCATGTTCTTGAGGTGCTCTCTCTCCTCCAATGCACCTCTTTCAAGAAATTGTTGTGCAAAGTTGTCATTCCTTTATATGTTATTAAAATGTAATAAATAAATAAGCAAAAACTTTCTTGCGGATACCTGCTGAGTAAATGAAGTAAGAAAATAAGTAACTTCATGAGCTTCAGCTGCACATTGTAAAAAAAGTATAACAAAAGCACAAAGTGCGTGTAACATGGGACACTGTGATAGACAACATCCAACAGGCCTAGAGAGAGCGGAAGCGGCAGTCTTTGTTCCTCGGTGCTACTGCCGCGTTTTGTTTATGGGATAACACTGTGTTGCCATTAAGACTTTAATCAAAACAGACACCCCCTCTCGCCCTCACACTGCCCCAGCCAATGCACTTCCCAGTGACGACAGAGGACCAGAGAGAGAAGAAAGGAACAAATAATGTGTGGGAATCTAAGCCAGCACGCTCGTCATGGCGGGCAACTCCTCAACATGGCTTTAAATTAGGGGAAAAGAAAACAGAAACTAAAAAAAGCCCGCCGTCTAACTATACTCATGCCTGCTAATTTGCCACCACTTGAAAAAGTCAGAAAAAAATAGCAGTAAGTTTTAAATCACACTAGTGTGTGTGCTAGAATACTTAGGGATTTGGGTCAATTGTAATACACTTAGACGTACATTAGCCTCTGCGGGTGGAAGCTATGGACATGATTTCATATTAGAGGAGAGCAGTAGAGGAGAAGTGTCTGGTTAAGGCCGGCTGGGATGGGACCACTGACAGCTGCGGTCCCAAAGTCTTACATCTAGCGCCAGGGCTCACTGCCACTTGCTACATAGCCCCTCCTGTCCCAGCACTGGCACTGAGAGATGACTGAACAAAACGTTAAGCACCTGCCAAATACTTCCATCTCCTCTTAAAAGGCCAAATCCTGCAGCGGAAGAGGGGCCGGAGATGACAGCAGGCGGGGAGGTTTATCTGTCTGGTGCATGGGGCAAAGGTCACACTCACTACGTTAACATGCACAGAGAAGACGCATGCTAAACAACTGCATTTAATTCAACTTTGCACCAAAACCTCAAATCACTCTTTTCTCAGTCTACATGCACAACAACCAAGCAGGTGCGAGAGAGGGCGCAGAGATGTCTACAAATTTTGTATAAGCAATAAAACACTTTTCAATTCATTTACATTGATGATTATATTTTTAGACATGTTAGGAACTGGATTTCTCACAAATTATTTGCTTTCCGCAGTACAAATAAACACACTGAAGCTCCTGTATTTTTACTTTCACTTTCACATAGCGGACCATAACAATGACGCATGAGCTATTTGACATGCATTTTTAAAATTTAGCTTATATTAGACTAGGCCAGCTGTATGGTTTTCCTGGTGTTGTATATGTGCATGGGACTGTGATGCAGTAGGACCCTTACCTTATCGAGTAGAGGCAGGCAGCGTGGGACCCTGTGCTCCAGTTTGACGATGGTGATGAAGTCAGAGTCAGGGCGCTCATCCTCACTGGTGTTACACAGAGACAGAGGGTGGTACTGAAACACACAAAGAAAGAGTGCATTTGTTAGTATAATTGCAGTATACATATGCATCAAATACATATGTAAATATATAACTTTGTTGATATTACACTGTTACCCTATATTACATTGTGCTTTAAATGTCTCTTTAAAAGTCCATGCACGTATTATGCACTCATAAGCTTAACATGAAACTAAAATGAGTGAGAATGTGTTTCTGAAGTGAGAGAGAGATTACAGCTGTGTTCACACCATCAGAAACAGTTGCTCGGCTCTTCCTCAGATTGAGGCGTCACCTTCCAAAAGCAGATACAGTTGATATCAAGAGGAAAAACTCTGGCACCCTACAAAATCAATTACATGGAGGGCGATGTTCGCTCCCACCCAAAGCCTGGAGGACTAAAAGAATGAGAGATAGTCTGTGTGAAGAACATTTGATCCCCTCTGAAAGGGAGGAAATTCAGAGCTGCTGAAAGGGAGCATTTAAGAGCTCAAAGGATACGAGCCATGTTTGCGAGTCACAGACACGCTGTCACGGGAACAAGGAGAGGAGTAGGACAGAGCCACAACATCACTATCACACCTCTCACCCGTACAATGCAAGCACCCAATACAAGGACTCAATACAAGAATCTAATCCATGGGTTTTACAAAAGCTAGTACTGTTGCCATAACAATTAACAATGTTAAACGAAATATAATATCTTTTGAATGGTCAGTCATCCTCAAAATGGCACCATATAACAGGAGGCTGAAACCCATAAATACAAAGACCCAATACAAGCACCCAGGCCCCAGATGTACAGAATGGTCCCAGTCTGGTTCTGCTCTGGTTCCGTCCTTACAGGACAGTTCTGTCCCACTGCGCCTCTTGATGTGGCTGAGTGCGGCTTGGCTCGTGGGGCTCTCACTCATCTCACCCAACGGAAATCTCTAAATTAAAAAGACCCAAGGGTGACATCAACAGCTGGCACCCCAGATCTGGGCAACTGACGTAATGGACTGCTAAGGGCTGGTGCGTGTCTGTCACAGAGCCTGTCACAGCAGAGGTCGATGAGTGAGAGGGCAGAATATATTCACTATTAGACAAACAACATATGAATCCTACAGACTGTGCTCAAAGTGAATTTCAGCATTATGCTAAAAAGGATGTATTTAGATGTGCCTGAGCTTCAGAGTCTTCCCACGCGGCTGCAGACATATTCACAGTGAGTGGGTCTGGCAGCAGGACTCCCTGCTCCTCCAGCCTCCCATCAGCCTCAGCAGCTGCCTCTAACACTCTCCCGTTTAGGCCCAAATTAAAGGCCTCCAGTCGAACTTGGTCCCCAAAGAAGAAAGTCAGAAAAAATGTCCTCTAATGACACCATGACCTCTGCTCTTTTATGAGAAATATCAAACAGACTTTTGTTCAGTTGAAAGAATAACTTATTTTTACACTCTTTAATGGACCAACTTCAAGTGCATATGAGTGGTTACACTACTCATTTCACAAAAACACATTTAACAAGATTATATTTAAGACCTGACTAAAACTCTTAGCCTAGTGTTTACTATTTTTTTTTTGGTAAAGTTTATTATTTTACTTCCTGGCTGGAAACGGACAGCAGATATGGCATACTTAGAGCTAATTCCATAACTGTTATCTGAAGTTAAAATTGCGCAATAGTTATGATTAGATAAATAAAAATAAACAATAACACCTATTATTTAAATTTTCTAGATTTATACTGTTCCTTGTGTGAACATTGTAGAAATAGGTAGAGGGATTGTTTAAGATACTTCTATATTTTTATACTTTTCTTTCCACCTTTTTTCTCCACAAACTGCAACTTAACTAATGTAACATCCATACATACATATTTACCACCAAACCAAGTAACCTGTCATATGCAGTTTAACTAACTTTTATTAGTCTTGCTATAATATAAAGCATAGTTATTATACTTTTATTACTGCTTTGAATAATTTGGAAAAAAAATAATTGTGATTTTCTGACAAACTTGCGATTTTGTGTTTAACAGTAGGATTCTGTTCATTTTTATCACATCCAAGACAAAAATACTGAAATATGAACTAACAAACTAATCACAAACAAGAATCACATGTATTTTAGAACATGTTTGAAGAAACATCCTACAGTGTGATGCAATGTAAACATTTTCTGTATGTCGAGGAAATTACAGTAGTTAGAGCATAATGCATGCATCAAATACATCTATGTAAATATGTGACTTTGCCTTGAATGTCTCTTTAAAAGTTCATGTACTTTTTGAGAGTACTTTGTGAGAAAGTGTTTCTGTAAGTGTATTTAAGAGACACGTGCTACAAATTAGCGGCTGTGGTTGGACAGACTCTTCTGGATTTGAGCAGAATGTCTGAGGGACTGGCTGGTCAGGAAAATAAACCAATGTTTCTAAACAAAACTAGAGATGACAATTTCACAGTTGCATTCTATACCTCTGTGAAATCCTGCCAAAGAAGATTAGAGCTGCTTTCAGGCTCTGCAGGCAAAAATCTGTTCTAGTCTCTGTTTTGCTAAGTGCACCAGACTAAACATTATCCTCTATTTTGATGCGACCACACTGCACAATGAGATGGCTGTGACCCTCTCTACCACCCCAAGTGCCATACACCACTTAAGAGTCATGCTGCTCTGGCTATAAACAGCTAAAGGCTAAAACATCTTTATGTGAAGTACTCTGGTCAGCTGAAGTTGTTTTAAATGTGCTATATAAATAAACTTGTATTGAAACTTCATTTGAGTTTTAAAGAGGCTAGATAAATAAGCTAAGAAAACCAGAGCACACAAACAGTTCCCCACAGTCTCTCAACAATAGAATCTGCTCTTTCTCATCTCTCCAGGTTAGTTGCAACATTGACAACATCATGTCCCTTTGTTCTACTGAAACAACTGTCAAAAGCATTCTTCATATACAACTGCCAAAATATAATACCACTAGAAATAAAAGTCAGAGTAACATGGATGAATATTCCAATTGTTGTTGTTGGAGATAACATTTTGACATGCAGTGACATCACTCTGGGGATGTTCTACATGTATGTGTATTGGTGGAATGTTCACCAGCAGTTACCATGGAGACACAACACGCACATAAGCAAACACTGCCAAATAAGTTTCATGATCTTCTGAAAACTAAAGAAAAAAAACTAACAAAAATGACTTAAACAACATATTTTTGGGAGTCTATAATCAGTACGTCTGTTTAGGTGTTTGGTTTTCAACAAAAAAGGTGAGAGTAACTAAAAACTGTTGGCTAATGCTTGCAAATGCTTATGATTATAATGTTGTTTAACGGTAAAAATCAGCTCACTTGTTGTAGTTCTAGTTAAAACAGTTCTTTCTGGTCAGGTTGTGTTAAAATAAAGCTCAGATTAAAGTCTAAAAAATCTCAGACAGAGCTGTGCTTATATTTGTACAGTTACAGTATCAATATTGTCAATAATTAATACTATACTATACAAAAGTCTAAAGTGATATTTCCTCCCTCTCGTTAATTCTATGGTTTACTTGAACCTCAGTCAATATATTTACAGGCACATTTTTGCAGCACTGTTAAAATATCATCTGAGTAGTGTAATTAACTTTATTAACTTTTATATCAATTTCTTTTTCTCCCCTAGCATGAACAACTGCAGTAGAAGGGGGAATGAATATAGTAGCAGTGGTGAGATTTATTTTTTTCCCTTATCCTCATGGATCTTATTTTTCATCTGCCAATAATCAGCAAGTGACCATTTTAGTTCATGTGCTGCCAGCATGGAAGGGAGCCCAAGCAGTTATGTCAGAGTGAGTTAGTGGGGAAACTAAAAAGGCCTAGCACCTCTCAGCAAGCTCCTTCACTCAATTACCATCAAGACCTGGGCTGTACCTCAACAAACCACCAGCTGAAACGAAATATGCACAATCAGCAAATAAGATAATAGTTTAAGTAACAAGTGGAAGAAATTCTATTTAAAGGTCCTATATTACGCAGAACTTTAAACCATGTTATAATATGGTTATCTCCTCAAAAACATACCCGGAGTTGTGTTCCCTTTCATTCACACATTAGTCAAACTTTGTTATTTCTCTGTCTACGTCTCCAAAGCTCAGAATGCGCTGTTCCACCGTGTGATATTATGAAGTGGTAGTTTTCAAGTTAACAGCTACTTTTTACCTTTAGTTCTGTAGATATTGGCAGTTCCAGGGCTGAAATTATCCAAACGACTCTAGTGAAGGTGCATGGAGTTTAAAAACACAGAGGTGCACTTCCCGTGTTATAGCATCACATTACAAGGTGGAACAGAGAGTTTTCAGTTTGAGAAAAGAACAGAGGCTAAATATGTGTTAAACATGTGTGAAACAAAAATACAACCCCAGGTATGTTTATATGATCTATTTTTACAGGATGAGAAAACAGTGTAATAAGGCTTTTTAATAAATAATAATGTTTCAGTGTAGTTCTAGGCTTGGAGGGGTTGCCAGGTTGGTTTATAAAAAAGTAAAAAGAGAGTGGGCAATATCAGTAGAATTTAGTTTTTCAATTGTATTTTGTTTCATGCAAAAGAAATAAAATGATTTTCAATATCAGTTTCCAGAACATGAACAAGATTAACTTTGCTCAGAACCACATGCTTCTCCTGACAGAGGACTGGCTGATCAACTCACAATTAAAAAAGACCTAAACTGATCATTGACGATTAGAAATGACTGAGTCTACTTAACTAAAATTCAATTAACTGCACAGCTCTAAAAAGCCAGCTTCACTATGCCTTGAGGAGAAGCATAAACCTCTTTAAAGTTGGAGAGATTCAAAGAGATATGTGTCTAGTTACTTATGTAAACATACAGGCAATTAGGACAAGTCAAAGCACAACCACTGTTATCTTATGACAAGGGCTACAGACATATTCCCAATTTTAAATGATATTTTCAGATGTTAACAATAAATCTTTATTTATTATTTAAGGTCCTATATTACACAAAATGGATTCTTAAGCTTCAAGTCAGGTTT